TCCTACGCTTGTGGAGACCTTCACCCTCTTAACACGTTTTCCATAATATTAATTTATTTTAACTGTTTTAATACCATAAGTAAGGGTTCTTCATTTCCAGAGAAGGATGTACCCTCACAGTTGTGTGCATGCTCCTAGGATTCCACATCACGGATCCCAGGAGGTTTAGGGGAAATTTACTGAAAATGCACATGCATCACAGTACAACTTCATGCCCCAAACTACATCACCGACCTGATATCCATCTACCACCCAAAACGCACTCTCCACTCCTCACAAGACTTCCTACTCTTCAGTTCCCTGGTCTCCTCCTCCCATGCCCATCTCCAGGACTTCTCCAGGGCTTTCCCCCATCCTCTGGAACTCCATCCCCGCCCCCTTCCTCCTCCCTCTGTAGCTCTATCCCCACCCCTTTCCTCTCTGTAACTCTATCCCCGCCCCTTTTTCCTCCTCCCCCTGTGCTGTAGCTGCATGGTTCACAGTCCGGCTGCCGAGTCAGACTGAGCAGTGTAGAGGGGGGAGGGCGCTCATCGCACCGAATACTTCCCCTCCCCCCGCCTGAGACTCGGCTGCATAGTGCAGACTGTTTCAGAGAAATACAGAGAGTAGAAGCAGAGACAGCAGTATGTGTTGAGATAAGTAGTTCTCCTGGGAGCCTATCACATCTGCAGAACCAGCTGCATCCTTTGTGAGGAGACCCCCATATGAGCAGGCTGTATCCATTGTGTGGTGACCCCCATGAGTGATAGCACTGCCAGGGAGTGAGAGACAATCTGACCAGATCTGACCAGACATATTGTGAGGATATCCTGCTGACCAGTGGCCTACTACTATCTATGCACATTTGATTTGCGTATCTGGTGAGTGCGCAATCTCATTATCATTTATCACCGGATCCACGATCTGTATCACTGGATATCTTGAGATCATTTGAGATCTTATCAACACTTCTTCTTTGTGAACTTTTGACTGAGTTAACACCTTCTAGCACCTTTGGCCACCATCCAGTAGCTCATGTATTTGCACCTTGTCACTTTATATTTATATCTATATTTATTGTGACATTGTTGATTTTACTAGCGCTGCACCCCCTCTTTTTATGTGTCTTGGAAGGTTTATTGGTACCTTTTTGGTGTACAGCTGCTAATATATTTGGCATCATTTTAGCGCTCACTTATCCTTTCTGCATTTCCTGTTTAACCAATTAATACAACTAGGTAACTATTAACAATTCATAAAAGTGATACGAAACACATACTGTTTAATTTACATTATCCCTGCTCTTTCCGTATGTGGATGATGGCACTGTAATTATTTTAATTTTAAAAAAATCTAAGTATCTTTTTCTAATCAATATACAGCTGTCATATGACTCAGCTCTCTTTCTCAGCCTGTCTGCACGGAAACAGTGGCAGGAGCAGCTTCTAGTCCTATGCTGCTGGTCACATGTTCAAAAGAAAAAAAACAGCCTATGGGGATACAGAGTAAAAATAACAAATATCAATAAATTGTTTTAAATTGTCATACACATATATTTGAAATCAAATCTTTATAATTTGTTGGCAATAACATGGTGTGGGCGGATTTCTGCCACTCAGAGGCTGTGTCATACCCCCTTCAGCCTGTGTCTTAGATTAATGGGGAGGTGAAGCCTCCATCAATCAAGATGTGATATCCCACCCCCTCTGGTTAGCGGGCATGGAGAAGGAGGGAGGGAGTGGGCTGTCATTTACCACTGTGTACATGCCCACATGTGTGACTCTATAGTCACATGGGCTGCTCAGATGTGATAGGGAGGAAATGCTCAGTATAGAAAACTCACTGAAAACTGAGCATGTGCAGTAGCTGCCAACACTTCTCTGCAAAATCCCCAACTGCACTGGGGACATGAACTGAAGATGGAGATAGAGAACAGCAGGATCAACCAGGTTTTTTGCAGAATACAGAAAACTAATCCTATAGTGAATGCATGAGTATGAACAGCATGTAATACAGCATTTATTTATAGTTTTTTTTATGCTGTGGGTTTAGTGACACCTTAAATGTATTTTTCTAAATAGACTTTCTATTAGTCTTTTGCAGTCCCCCACACAGCAGTTCTCAGATTGGTGGATTTGGGATCTAGTTAGGCGTGCTGATAGAGGAAACAGCAGAGTGAATAAGAGATGACCTCATCATTCTGTTGCTGCTCCTTCACTGTCCAATCAGAAGGCTAGGGGTGAGGCAATGACAACACTGTATCCCTTTCTGCAGTTAATAACTGTACCAGGGAAAGTGGTGTCCTTCACTTAGATGTGCTATGTGGTGGGGCTTTGCAAATCTCAAACCTAAATGGGCAGAAGTATAACAAAAATACTTTAGCAGGTAAAACCGCGCTCTTATATGCATTAATTCTGTGCAGCTAGTTATATGCTTAAGTTAACCGCTTCCCGTCCGCCCTATAGCAGAAACACTGCTACAGGGTGGGCCAGGTGCACAAAATCACGTATACCATATTTTTCGCCGTATAAGACGCACTTTTTCTTCCCCAAAACTGGGGGGGAAATGTCAGTGCGTCTTATAAGGCGAATATGGAGCGGCCGGTCCGGTATTTCCACCGCGGCCATGTCAGAATACCGGGCCGGCCGCTCAGCTCTGCAGCGGGACCTTACCTGTTCCTCTATCCAGCGGCGTGCTGTCTTCCCGGCTTCTGTAGTGTGGGTGCTCAGCATGATAGCCGGGTGCCCAGTGCGCATACGCGAGAAGCGGTGCGCTTTGTGAATGGTAAGGCGGTACCTGGGACACATGACAAATCCCGGAAGCCGCCGGACCAATCACAAAGCGCAAGTGCTTCTCGCTCATGCGCACTGGGCACCCGGCTGTCATGCCGATCGCCATTACAGAAGCCGGGAAGACAGCGCGCGGCTGGATCGAGGAACAGGTAAGATCAAACAAAAACTCTGCGGAAGTAAGAGCGGGTACCTGTCAAATTCAGGTACCCGCTCCCCACTTCCCCAAAGGTCAGCAGTCATCGGTACTGTCCGCAGTCTCTGGTCATCCCTGTGCTGTCCGCAGTCTCTGGTCATCCCTGTGCTGTCCGCAGTCTCTGGTCATCCCTGTGCTGTCCGCAGTCTCTGGTCATCCCTGTGCTGTCCGCAGTCTCTGGTCATCTCCTGTACTGTGTCTGCAGTCCATTAGTTCAGATTTTTTTTTTCCTGTTTTCTGCCTCTAAAACCTAGGTGCGTCTTATGGTCAGGTGTGTCTTATACGGCGAAAAATACGGTATATACAAGATTTTGCATTTCCAGGTAGGGGGTGCGTGCGCGCCGTACCCACACTGCCATTCGTGGCTGCAGCTGTCAATCAATCACTGGGTCCCAGCCGGTGATTACTCGCCGTCACCCGGTGATTGCCGAACATCTCCAACGGGGAGGAGAACTGTTTGTAAACAAAACAGTTCTCCCTGCCAGATCGTGCACACTGCTTCGCATGGCTGTGCACTGCACAGCCATGCAAAGCAGTGTGCTTACAGTGAAGCACCTGGACAGTTAACCCTTTGATTGCCCCTCATGTTAACCCTTCCTGCCCAGTGCCATTAGTACAGTGTCAGTACTTTTTTTTAGCACTGATCACTGTATTTGTATAACTGGGGATGTCAGTGACACCAAGTCAGTTCCCCCCAGTGTCAGAATGCCTGCCGCAGTTCCGCAGTCCCGCTATAAGTTCCTGATCGCCGTCATTAGTAGTAAAAAGTAAAAAAAACAACTCAGTATATATACCACCATTTGTAAACACTATAACTTTCACATAAACCAAATAATTTACACGTATTGGGATATTTATTTTTTAGCAAAGACGTAGCAGAATACATTTTGGCCTAAATTTATGCCGAAATTTGATTTTTTTTATTTTTTTTTATTGGCCATGTTTAATAGCAAAAAGTCAAAAAATATTGTTTTTTTCTCAAAATTGTGGGTCTCTCTTTTTATAGTGCAAAAAAATTAAAACCACACAGGTGATCAAATACCAACGAAAGAAAGCTCAATTCACGGAAAAAAAAAGGACGTAAAAATCATTTGCGTGCAGCGTTGCATAACAATTAAAGTAACACAGTGCTGTAACACAAAAAATGGCCTGGTCAGGAAGGGGGGTAAATCCTCTGGAGGGCAAGAGGTTAATCTAAACATTCTTTTTAAAAAAAAAAAACGTTCCAATCAAATATTACAAAAAAAGAACATTGCATACCAACTCACTCTTCATTTTGGAGGTGAAAAGTTGACAAAGTTGCTCAATAAACGGTTCTTGTTTACGATGTTATTTGCATAGCTATTCAATTTCTGTATAAATTTCAGAGGAAGCAGGTTGTGCAACTCAGTTTACAACTTTGTTCTTGTTTGCAACATTTCACAAACAGTATGTGGAAATAAAATGTGCATGCTTCCTTTAATAAGGAAGTAATAAAAAAAAAAATAATAATATTAATAATAATAATAAACTAACATTTTGTTTTAATTTACAGGTTACAAACCATTCTTTGAAGAACTATTGGATTGATGGGGCAACACTGACACCTTCAGGATAAAGATGGAATTGGAGATTCAAGACTCGAATACCAATGCTTTGATTTGCTGAATGGTTGTAAAAAGAAAGCCACCAAACTCGTAACACCCTAAATTTAACTGTGCCCCATATGTGTCCAAGTATCCTGCTATTTCTGGATATGATCTTTTCCACGGCTGACACTTGACCTCAGTTATAAGTTTTCCAGAAGCTTGGAAAAATTACAAAATGGATGGAGTAACGCATCAATATCACTTGAGTCGACTGTATAGGGAATACCAAAGCAACAGTGTTATAGCACTTCATTACAACTATACCGGGAAGCTCAGCACTAGTCGATACAAAGGTGGACTGAAAGCTGAATCTGTGTTTTTTTTTTTCTGGTGGTATGTGTGCTTATTGTCTTGGAGAACCTTATTGTGCTTTTGGCCATCTGGCGCAACAAGAAATTTCATGCTCCTATGTTCTACCTCCTTGGCAATCTGACTCTATCAGACCTCCTGGCTGGCATTGCTTACATGGTCAACATTGTGTTGTCAGGGGCAAACACGCTCCGCCTTACCCCTGCCATGTGGTTTATTAGGGAAGGGGGTGTCTTTGTCACATTGACTGCCTCTATATTTAGCCTACTGGCCATTGCTATTGAGCGTCATATCACTATGGTCCGTATGAAGCTCTATAGTGGAGACAAGAAGGGACGAATGGCCTTGTTGATTGGGGTGAGTTGGCTGCTCTCTATACTGTTGGGTATTTTGCCAATATTGGGATGGAACTGCATCAACAACCTCCCAGCCTGCTCCACCATCTTGCCCTTGTATTCTAAGGATTATATATTGGTGTGCATTAGTGTCTTTCTGGCCATTCTAATCTCCATTGTGGTCCTCTATCTCCGCATATACAGGATTGTCAAACACAACAGTCAGAGACTGGGCACACTTCGCAAGGGAGCACTGAGGAAGTCCCAAAAGTACATGGCTCTGTTAAAGACGGTTACTATTGTGGTGGGTACCTTCATTGGATGCTGGCTTCCACTCTTCATATTGCTACTGTTTGATGTCTCGTGTGAGGTCAACTCTTGCCCAATCCTCTTCAAGGCTGATTACTTCCTTGGCTTGGCTATGATAAACTCTCTCTTAAACCCTATCATCTACACATTAACCAGCAGAGACATTAGAAGAGCCATTCTCAAGCTTGTCTGCTTCTTCTGTCTTGTTAATGAGGATGGAGAAACTAGAGGGAGATTTGGCATTCTCCCGGTCTTAGAAAGAAGTACCAGCAAATCAGAGAGAAGTCCTCCCATAAGCAGGAGGGTTTGGAGACCACTGTGTCTTCAGGGAATGGGACTCCAACACCGGTGAAGTCACTTGTGCCTCCAAGAAAGTACTGAACGCTGTTGTTCTGAATGATCATAGCCACCTGAACATAATGGAGAAATCATTTAAAATCTGGTCACATGGCATTACACCTGATCTGCTCCCGTGGTTCAGTTGAATGGGTTTGAATCTGCTGAATTGCCTTATGTTTGTTTATTATAAGAACCTTAAAAACTCTGCTTTAGAAGGATACCAGCCTTGCTCCTTAGGCTTCTAGTATATCTATTGCTAGAGGTCCACATTGTGCTAACACAAGCTGCATGCACTTCAGTTCAGCTTCAGATTTCAAAAAATTGTCCCCTTTCCAAGGGAAGGGTTTTTTTTGCATGGGGATAATATATTATATGCCTGATGATACCTTGTAAGGAGGAATCTTAAAAAAATGAAATGTTAATTGCAGATTGACTCGTGGATCATGTGAAATATGCAGATCTTTGGATCTCAAGCCTTAAGGATCGGCCTATTTTATTCAGCAGTCATATTTCAAGTAAAGTTTGCTACCACTGATATTGGCTTTTTAATAGAACATAGAAGGTTTGGAACTTCTGTCAGGTTTTTTATTGATATAAAGGAGAGATTTCCCTTTCCTCCCTGTACTTATGACAACCGTCACTAGGAAAGCTGACAAAGGTGTCCTTCCTAACTGATCTCCATCACTGGAAGTGCGTGAAGTACCTGAAAAGGCCTGGACAGGGTTTTTAACCCTTCTATTCATACAGGAATAAAGGAGGTGGAGTGATAATGTGCTAAATTAAACTTTAGGGAGAAAGGTCAGAAATAAAACCTTAAAATGCAAGGTCCACTTACACCTTCCTGGCCCCCTCCCATTTCACAAATCAACTACTATTTAGTGCAGTGATGGTTAACTTTTTGGATATGGGGGGCATCAAGAGCGGTCCCTGAAATCATCAAAGTGCAGCACAGCAGACACACAAAGACTATGGGCATGATACAAGAGATGGTCAGAGACTGCAGACATGATACAAGAGATGGTCAGAGACTATGGATATAATACAGGAAATGGTCAGAGACTATGGATATAATACAGGAGATGGTTAGAGACTGCAAATATGATACATGAGATGGTCAGAGACTGTGGCTATAATACAGGAAATGGTCAGAGACTATGGATATAATACAGGAGATGGTTAGAGACTGCAGATATGATACAGGAGATGGTCAGAGACTGTGGATATATTACAAGAGATGGTCAGAGACTGCGAGCATGGAGAGTTGTTCGGAGACTGCAGATACCATACAAGAGATAGTCAGAGACTGCAGACATGATACAAGAGATGGTCAGAGGCTATGGATATAATACAGGAAATGGTCAGAGACTATGGATATAATACAGGAGATTGTTAGAGACTGCAGACATGATACAAGAGATGGTCAGAGACTATGGATATAATACAGGAAATGGTCAGAGACTATGGATATAATACAGGAGATGGTTAGAGACTGCAGATATGATACAGGAGATGGTCAGAGACTGTGGATATATTACAAGAGATGGTCAGAGACTGTGAGCATGGAGAGTTGTTCGGAGACTGCAGATATGATACAGGAGATGGTCAGAGACTGTGGATATATTACAAGAGATGGTCAGAGACTGCGAGCATGGAGAGTTGTTCGGAGACTGCAGATACCATACAAGAGATGGTCAGAGACTGCAGACATGATACAAGAGATGGTCAGAGACTGTGAACAAGCTATAGGAGTTGTTGGAGATAGTCCTAAAAATTACACAAGACTTCTAAAAAATCACTGCTATAACAGGGCAATAGAGAAACACAGATTTGTGGCTGAAGGGGCCCCCGAGCACTGTACAAAATGTGCCAAAGAACCACATACAGGACCTGGGCCATAGGTTGGGCACCAGGGAGTTAAACTGTACAATTTACAGGTAAAATACAAAGTGAGGGTTGATACTTACCTCACTCCCATCTTCCACTCATGGCACCTAGAGGAGGATGACATCACACTCCTTCCACCTAGACCATGGGGACCACAGAGCAGCCGAAGTCTTGTGAAAAGTCACTCTTGCAATGGTCTCACATAAGATTTGGCCTGCTCTACAATCCCCAGGAATCCTAACAGAAGGACAGTGACACATTACAGAAGACACGGGTAAGGTCAAGAATAAATCGAACTTTATTGTTTACAAGTACAATTTAGTAGGTAGGTAATTTATGAAGGGGACGGGGCCTGTGCAATTTGAGTGGACCGTACATTTTATTGTAAGGTCTGTGCTAAGCAAAAGTGGAGTCACCTCTAGTAGCGAATTAAACTTCCTCTTCCAATGGAAACAAGGCATCATATTTATTGCAATAGGTCACTGTCCCACCTTTGCCCCAGTTTTTGTAAAGCAGTTCCAAAGAATACCTAAAGTGTTTTCTTTTGGATAGAGCAGGGGAAGAGTAAAAACCTCTGTAGATTTTTTTTGTTTTTGTCCCTGCTGGCAAATCCACCTTCTCTACTTCCAGATGACAAATGTTACCAGTACACACTGGAAGCAGAATACAAGGGAAATCTTTTAATGGGGAAACTTGTGTCTCAAGACAGAAAGCCAAAAATAAAGAACCTCCTCAATGAGACAAAAAAAATGTGTTTTAACTGTCCCCTACGCTATCCAAAACTAAAATAAAAAGGCTTCAGATAGAATTTAAGATTCAGAGTAATGTTGGAGACAAGACAGGTGATATTTCAAACTGGGGTGGTGGCTGAGCATCATGTATATTTGTAAATTGGTGTACATAGAAAATGTATAAATAAATAATGTATCAAAATAGAATTAACATGTATAGTGATGTTCAAAAAAAAGAACGGAAAGAAAATATAAGCTAACATGTGTGCACTGGCTTTAGTCAGTTTGAATGGACAAACATTCTATTAGCTGCTCAGACTAGAGGTAGCAGCAGCTGAACGAGTTGGGACAATCTCAGTCTATCTAGGGTTGTTTACTGTTGAGGTTTCAGGAAGTCATTTTTTCCTGGCCACCTACCTGACTTTTCCCTTTATTACTGGTTTATTATTTAGTTGGTATAATTAAAGTGGTTGCACATGAAAAATTAAAAGAAAAACAAACATGGCTATACTTATGCAGGCCATAGACGGGTCGAAAACCGTCTGTTTAAAAAAAAAAAAAACAACAAAAAATCGGTCGTTCAATAGGCCGACGTTACCACCAATGGTAAAAAAAAAAAAAAATAAAAAAAAAAATTGGCCGATTTTTGTCCCGTCTACGGCTGGCCTTTAACAACTTCTGTCCCTTGCAGAGAGCTCCGCTATTATATTTGACCTTAAAAAGTCTTGTGGTTGCAACAATGTATCCATTTCAGATACAGATGTTTTTATTCGGATACAAATAGATACATTGTTGCAACCGCAAGACTTTTTCATGTCAAATATAATAGCGGACTGGAATTCTTATTCTTTTTCTTCTTCTTGCAGGTCATGCGCAGATTTTTTATCGGTAAAACGATCGGCCGATTTGCCCATCATTACCGGCAAAATCAGCCGATTTTTTTCCAACTTTACCGATAAAAAAAAATGTGCCAAAACCCCAAAAAATGCCCAACCAATTAACCCACTAACGGTGCAAAAATCGGCCAATTTTTGACCCGTCTATGGCCTGCATTACCTGCTTAATAGAAGGCCCTGAACTTCCACTTCTCCGGTACCCCGCTGGTGTGCTTGGCTCCTCCTCTTTGGCTAGTGCCCCCAATAGGAAGCAGTATCTCATGGGGGCACTTGTGTGGGCTTGCTCCCAAACCCTGCTTCTGCATCCATTGACACATACAGTGGGACTGGTACACGCTAGAGCAGCCTTTTTAACATGAAGGAAACCATGAAAGAACTTTTAGGTCTCAGGGAAACCACTGCTAATAAGTACTCTATGTACAGCTCACAGGACAATAATGTGGTGGTGTCAATGAGAATATTGCTCCCCTTAGGCCTCATGAACACTGCTGCTCCTAAATTCACGTTTAGGAGCTTTTGGCCTTTTTTTTTGCCAAAGCCCCCGAGGTCAACTCAAGAAAAGCCTATGTGGCCATGCACACGGGTTGATTTAATAGAGCTGGGGAGTGCAAATCTCTCTGCTCTGCATAGAAACCAATCAGCTTCCAGGCTTTATTGTCAAAGCTTAATTGAATGAGCTGAAGTTAGAAACTGATTGGCTACCATGCACAGCTGCACCAGATTTTGCAATTTTAGTAAATCAATCCCATAGGTTTTTACCAGAGGTTAGAAGCAGCAAATTTTAGAGGCAGTAAAACGCTCCTCTCCTGAACGCAGAAGAATCCCATTCAGGAGAGGAATCTTTTGACAGAAAACGTCAAAACGCAGAAAAAATGTGTGTAAACGTTAGGCTTGTTTAGCGCTTGGGTGTTTTTTAATGTCAATAGCCAGAATACATTATTATATGTATAAACCAGAATACATTATTTATTCCAGGCGATGAAATGAATAAACACCCAAGCGCCTGACGCGTGTAAACGCGGTACACACATTTACCAGTGTCAGGTGTTTTTTTGCTGGTAGAAACAAACGTCAGGAGCAGTAGCTTTTAACATCCAGTGTGCATGTACCCTTCCAGATGAGACTGCCCTGATCAGCAGGAGATCCCCTGCTGAATTGGGGCTGAACAGGGCAGATTTCAGTTTTGACATCCGTGCCTATTTAATTTACGCCTATCGAACCTGTGACAGCTCTATGGGCAGCCAGATGTAAATGGACTCCGCTGTCTGTTCAGGATACCTGTTCTGTCATGTTTCGGTCCGGAAAAAAGGAAAAGAATGCAGTCAATTTTTTCTGGACCTGGACAAACCCGGAGAGAGGCAGGTGTAAATGGACACAAGTCAGTTTACATCTGCCTGTCCATAGGGCTGCATGGAGGTCCTAATTAGGTCTACCTGAAAAACTTGACAGGTGGACCTGATTGGAATGACCGTGTGAAGGGTCCTTTTAAAAGAAATAGTCAT